TGTTATTTTTTATCCTTTTTAAGCATAGCCATTCTGACTGGGATGAAATGATGTCTCACTGTAGCTTTGACTTACATTTCCCTGATTGAGAACTTTTTAATATCTTCTTGGGTATTTGTATGTCTACTTCTGATATTATAAACACAACCTTTATCAAAACTGACCATGTTTCCATTTTTAAATTTCATTCTTATTATTATGTTAAGTTCTTTAAAGATCCTTTCATCCTCTGGGTATTAACATCTTGTCAGATGAAACTTAGAGATTTTTTTTCTCATTCTGCAGGCTTTTCTCTTAACTCTGCTGATTGATTATTTTCCTTTGATATAACCCTATTGTTGTAAACTTTTGCAACTCTAGACAAACCTGTGACATCTTTGCTTCTGTATTTGTATACCTATAACTAAGTCCTTAACAGTGAGATTGTTGCATTTGGAGTATATGTTTAAAGTTTTGATAGTCATCATGAAATTACAACCAGAATGCGCTCAGTACAACCTGAAGTTGTCAGAGCAACCTTCCTGCTTTAGTTTCTCTAGAGATCCGAAGTTGCCCTCTCATTCTTTGTACATCTCTTTTCTAGTCATACCTCCTCCAGTTAAACTGGCTGACTCTCCTAGGGCTTGTCTTTCTCACAGCTGCCCAAACAGCAGGAAGATACAAACTCAGTATTCAATGCCAGGTTGGCTAGATAGGTGCAGGACAAAATACACAGTTCTAGAACTAAGGTGGTTTTGGAGACCTGAGTAATCCAGCGACTTCATTCCATCTGCTGGCAGCAACCAAGAAGAACCAGCATCTCAGAAATGGTTTTCCAGTAGCCAGGATTGGCATCTGTGAGGGATGTTATACAAGAGTGGGAGGTTGGGTCATTGATCTCTTAAGTGACTTTTGTGACTGAGTTAATAATTGTCACATCATTGAACAGCCCTTGCCCCGCGAAGCTCACCTTCTGTGAATTCAAGTCTCAGAGTAGACAACAGGGCATCACCAGACATATTACAGGACAAACTGCCAAGTATATTCCTGTTATAGCTTGCTGGGACAGAGTGTGCCTTAGAGCAAAACAAGCCTAGCAGCATTTGTATTCTGAACAGGCATCTGTCTGTGTTTGTGACCTTTATGTTGTGATGTGTGTGAGCTGCTGTCTGGAATTGGAAAGAAGGAGGAAATCTGTCACCTCTGGCCCCTCTCGTGGAAATGGTTAATGCCTCTGAGGCGTTTCAAAGGCAACAGAGCAGAGAAGATGAGTGATTAGAGGCACATTTGAGGAACATTTTTAGATTTAATTAGAATTGTGCTTTTTTTCCCTTTTGCCCCATGGTTAGTCCACACCTGATAAGCATTTGCTTTTTTTTTTTATTGTAAAAATACTCTACAGAGGGGTTACAATTACATGGGCAAGATAATGAGTACATTTCTTATCAAGCATTGTAGCCTCCTTTGTTTCCCCTTCCCATCCCTTCCCATCCTCCCCTCCCCCACCTCCTCACCCTATCCTCCTTTCCCCCTTCCCCCCACCAAAGTTGTAGTTCGTTTTCAACATAAGGACTTGTGCATCTCATTGTTGCAATGCAGAATGTTCAATAGTAACTTGTGGTTATAGACTTTTCCTCAAGAACACTTGTTTATCTAGTGGTGTTTGGTAACAAGGAATAAGGTTGATGGACATACATTCCTAATTAGTCAAAAGTAAGTTGGTATGGTGGACAGCAAGGGTAGAAAGGACCTTATATTTATTTCCTATTTTAGAAACAGTAGTATCCATGTACTTGAGAATAATCTTACTAAGAAAGGAGTCCTTTCTCCTTGCCTTCTGCACACACACACACACACACACACACACACACACACACCACATTTGCCATCACTGGAAATAAACTCGGTGATATTCTTGGGAGCCTTATGTATATCATATGTCTTTCTGATTTAATAAGTAGTAGTCATTGACTACTGATCATGCAGCTTTGTCTTTTGTGAAGAAGAAAGTAAGTTCATTGTTTATTCCATTCTTACATCCATTCCCAATCTAATAGACTATGACTAAGCTTTTAAATATTGAAGATTTAGCATAATAGTAACATCTACATAATGAAAGTGACAAGAGCTAACCATACACACATACACACACACACACACACACACACGCACACACGCACGCGCACACACACACACACACACACATACATCTTACATTAACTTTATATAAACATTGATCCTGAGGATTGGTACAGACTTTTCCAAGTACTCTACCTCTTGAGCTATGCCCCTAGCCCCTTTAACTTTAGGTTATTTTTCAATAAGATCTTATGGTTTAACCTGGGACCTGTCGTCTTCCATCCTCCTATCTCTACTTCCTAAAAAGCTATGGCTATTATCATATACCACCATACCCAGTCTTTAGCTTCCTCCCCCACTACCACTCCCTGTCCCTTACCTCCCCCTACCACCTGGTCCTTGTGCTTAACCTCAGAGCCTGGGTACTGTCCCTAAGCCTCTTTGTGCTCAAGGTTAGAGCTCTATCACTTGAGCTGCAACACCACTTCAGGCTGTTTCTGAGTAGTTTATTGGAGATAGGCTGGCTTCAAACCTCAATCTTCAGATCTCAGCCTCCTGAATAGCTATGACTACAGATGTGAACCACTGGCTCCTGGCCCAGTCTTTAGCTTTTTAACAAAATAATTTTAAATTGATACTAAAGAATTGATTTAGAGAGGGGTTACAGTTACATAAGTCAGGTAAGAGTACATTTCTTTTTGGACAGTGTCACCCCTTCCCTCCCTCTCTCCCAGTTTTTCCTTCCTGTCCTTATCCACAAGTTGTATAGTTCATTTTCAACATAGTGTCTAGTGCATTTTTTCACTCTTTGTTCCTCCATTTCTGTGCCTCCCCTTACCCTACTAAAGATAGATAAATGAACAAACAAGACAAAAAGAAAATGAAAGCTACTCAGGACGCTGAGATCTGAGGATAGAGGTTCAAAGCCAGCCCCGGCAAGAAAGTCCATGAGACTCTTATATCCAATTAACGACTAGAAAACCAGAAGTGGCGCTGTGGCTCAAGTGGTAGAGTGCTCATCTTGTGCTGAAGATTGCAGGGATGGCACCCAAGCCCAGAGTTCAAGCCCCATGACCAACAAAAAACAAAAACAAAAATAAGATTTTTGTTCTTGATTATTAAAATAATATTACTTGTAGGAAATATTTTTGTTTTCTTATTTTAATTAATTAATTGATTTTTTTGACTGAGGTTTGATCAGGACCTTTCACATTCTGAGTGTGTACTACACCCAAGCCTTTAGAAATCTTTAACACAACAAAAAAATATTATTTCAAAAGAAAAGAAAAGAAAAAATAAAGCAAGAACCAGTGGTTCACACCTCTAATTCTAGCTACTTAAGTGTCTGGGATTCTGAGGATTGTGTTTTGAGGCCAGCTGGGTAGAACAGTTTGTGTGTGACTCTTACGTCTGATTACCAACAACCCAGAAGTAGATCAATGGCTCAAGTAGTAACTCGCTAACCTTGAGTTCACGTGCTAGTACACACAAGAAATTTAAAATCACTTGTAATTCTACTAACCTAAGGAAGCATTTTTAATATTTTCTTTTATTTTTATGTGTGTAAATATGTACACATAAAAGTTAAATTTTCCTAAATAATTTCTCAGGAAAGATAAATTTCATTAACTGACAACTGACTTGCTATTTAGAAATCTTGGACCGAAATTCTGTATGTGTGCATATGCGTACAACACATGTATCAAGGAAGGAGTATTTTCACAGAAAAATTCTTAGCGATACATTTAGAAGACATTTTGCAATGTGTAGGTGTGGATATGTTTACCTTGTTTTAACCAGTAGTTGAAAGCCCTTTGAAGCCATTGTGGTTCTTCAAGGATCTACTGATCCCCTCCACTATAAAAAGCTTAAGTTTTTTTTAATATCTATTTTATCTCTGAGGAGCAGGAAGATATATACCTCTTGTTTCTAATGTAACATTCTTGGCATTATTTTGGGTCACTTTCCTGCTCTGTAAAGAGCAAACAATGTTGGAACCAACTGACTAAATACAAATTCATGAATCAAAACCAGAATGGTGTTTGGGTTTACAATTTAGAAATAATCTTGGAGAAATCCTTTCAGAGGGGTCTTAAAGTGGAAGATTGGATTTTGTAACCTCAAAAAAAGTGTCATGATTTGACTTGATCTAAGCCATTTTTATTCCTCTTTTCTGTGTTTGGGTCTATTTTCTGTCTGAAGAATTTATACAGGGAGACCATTGGGAAAGTCTTACATCTAATTATTTGCTGTGCTATGTTGAGTATAGTGCAGACAAGTCAATAAACAATCAATAATAATTGTAGCCTGCCTCAGAAATGGGAGCTGGCAGCTTCAGCTGGCTTAAGTGCATGGTATTCTACATTAATTTTTCTTTTGCTAGTTTTTCCTATAATTTAAAACCTAAATTTCGAGAGCAAATAGAAAACTTTCTTTGCTTATGAGAACAAATAGGCATTGTTTTAAAAAGAGAGGGAATAAGTAATCCCAGGTGTTTTCTCTCTGTTTAATGAGAGAAATGTCTTTTTGCTTCAGATTGAGTGAGCACAGAAGAAGACAAGGATATTTGCATGGTTAAGTGACTATGAGCCCTTCCTTCTGAACGTAATATTCCCTTGATGTCAATTACTTTTATACAGACATCTGGATGTTTATCATAAAAGTGTACAGATGTCAACTTTTTCTGTATCATAGCTGGAAATGTAGTGATAACTTGACTTTGATTTGAGTAAACATAAAATATTTAACATTTAATGTCAGAAGTTCACTTCAGGAAAGTGCTTAGACTGACATTTATTAAAGACAACTGTGCTTTGGAAAAATGATTGGAACCATCCCTAAAAATACAGACTCTCTTATAAAGTGAGCAAAGTCCCAGTTATTCTATCTCTAACAAGTAACAGGTTTTGAAAATGATATTTACCTACTCCTTGAATTTACAGAAGCCGGTGCTGAAGACATTGACATTCTTCCCAATGGCCTGGCTTTCTTTAGCGTGGTGAGTACTGTCTTCTTTCCCCCCAAACAGTAGAGGAGCACAGGGATGTATTTTGTTTCTTTGTTTTTTGTTTTTGATTGTTGAGATCTTATCTTTAAGTCCTTTACTTTGTAACATAAGTTGGGGCAGGGAGATAGGTCAGACTAGGTCTTAGAAATTTCTTTAAGCTTTTCTAAACATACAGACAGTCTTTTCCAATGGATTGATTATTTATCTGGGACTGGAATATTTCAATACAATCTGTGTTTTAAAAATGTGTCATTTTTCGGGCTGGGAAGGTGGCTCAGTAGTAGAGCGCTTGCCTTGCATGCATGAGGCCCTGGGTTCCATTCCTCAGCACCACATAAGCAAAAAGAAAAAAGCAGGAAGTGGTGCTGTGGCTCAAGTGGTAGAGTGCTAGCCTTGAGCTGAAGAGCTGAGGGACAGCGCCCAGGCCCAGAGTTCAAGGCCCACAACTGGACCTCCCCCCCCAAAAAAAGTGTCATTTTTTTAAATTAAAGAAATAGATGATAAAAAAGATATTTGAGACATTATTGTGGACGTGCGATACCACCATTTTCCTATTTTAAATACTGTTTCCATCCTTCTTGCCATTACATATTCAGATTTAAGCACATTAAAATTTACATATTCAAATTTGTTATTTCAAATAATAAACCCAACATTCCCAATCCAAGGCTGAAGCTTTTTCTTTCTTTCTTTCTTTTTCCCCCTGAATAGTATATTGGAAAGTTATTAACTGAGTTTATTTATGCACTTCATTCTTATTTTAATTCTTTCAGGCTGAAAAACAATATCTCTTCTGAGGATGCCATAGAAAGATGTTAAAACATTGATGTGCATGATGTTTGCTGGACCAATACTCATGCTAATTGAGAAGCACAATGAGTAGGCAGATGAGGGTTTCTGACCACCAGTTCCCTGGCTTGAACAGAAATAAGAATCTTTTGCATCTTCATGGGGCCAGTTTGTTTTGAAGGAATACCTTACTCCAACCCCCCCCCCCTCCACACCCATTTATTTTCAGGCTCTGAGACTCAGAAGGGATGTAAAAAACTTGGAGATACTTCAGAAAAGAGCTGCAACCCTAATAAATAGTTGTCAGACTTGTAAGAAAGGTAAGAGAACTCAGCTTAGAAGAGAATGAGGTTTGGAACTCTCCTCAGGTTCCTGATAGATTTTATATGAATGACTGAACAGCTGGTTAATACTATTGAGGGCCAAGAAATAGCGTTGCTAAGCTCAAACTAGTTTTAATGGCCTACATAAAATGAATCAAGCACTAATTATAATAGGAGTTTGTTAAAGCACACGTCAGTTTATAGGTTTTGGCAGGGGGGATGCTGGGACAAATCACAATTATTCATAACTTAAATATGTAAAACTCCTAGATAAAAAGTAGTACTGTTTTTTTCAAAGGTGTGTTATTTGCACTTTATGTAATTCAAAACTTAAACTATTTCAAGACTTTTTGTAAATGAGGAGTCAGGTTTCTCGGCACAAAAAATCTATAGTCATTTTAGCAGAGTTGCACATTAGAGACATATGTGTAGCCACATCAACAAGGATTTTCTGCTGATTTTCTGTGATCCTTAGTTATATGACTGGTTTGAAGGAGGGTTTTGTTTTTCAAATTTAGAAGCATTGCCTCTTTACTGATGTTTTTCCTTCACTGGGCATTGTCTTTCTCTGACATTCCAAGTATGTGCTTCCTTACTAATTGAATAATTTATATATTGCGGAGGAATTTCTTTCTCTTCTCAGCATTTTAGCCCATCTGCCCCATATTTTTCCACAGGTATAGATTTGAGGGGCATCTCAAAACTTAACATCATACTTGGTGAGGGATTGGATTACAAAGAATAGAATATAGAAGGATTTAAACAATAAGGTGAATGTAGTTTATTAGTACTACTGAACTGTATACTTCAGAAGGGTAATGATGAGGACTTGTATGTTGTTAGTATTTTATCACAGTTAAAACTAAAATAAAAATTTTAAATAAGGAAAAATATTGAAGTGATAGGAAATATTACAATAACTGTGAGTAGTTATCCTATCTGGTAGCATTTCCTCTGCATAGAAGTCATGGTGTTGTTTGGGATCCTTAATAAAGAATAGAGTTTAGTGACAGCTGAAGTAGCAGAAATATAACTCCAGTATATTCTATTTACTGAGCCTGCCAGCCTTACAAGTATGCAACTGTAGACACATGGTTTTGTTCTGTTTTTGTTTTTGTGTTTTAACTAGAAGGATCCTATTATGTCAAATTTTGTGCATGAAGTGAGTCTTATTTTTCTATTGTATCTTTAAATATGCATAAAATGTAGCAACATTGTATTAGTCAGCTTCATGAAACAGTGCATTCCAGAAAAATTTACTGTGCCTGGTAATGATGAATCAGCATTTTATAGATAGCTGGAGAATTTATTGAGTAACTGATGTTAAAAAAGAAGAAGACCTAGATCATCTCAGGAGTGCCAAAAGAGCATTAAATAAAATTCAATACTCATTCCTGATTAATAGCTCCAGGTGAGCTAGAAATAGAAGGAAAATTCCCAGAAATCTACAGTATGCATCAGTCTTAATGGTGAAACATTAGCTATATTTCCATTAACATGCAGAACAGGAAAAAAATGCCCACGACCACAACCACCATCAATAATCTATTAAAGCTCTTAATAACCTAACCAACAAGAATAAGAAATATGAGATTGAAGGAAAAAAAACAGACAAAAGTGCCATTATTGTAAGATAATGGATTCTGTTGTGGCTGTTGCTTTTTACATACCCCATAGTTTCAGCTATCAGACTATCAGAGTTAGAAGGAGATTTTAGTGAGTTGGCTGGGCACAAAATAAGCCTATAAAAATGCCATGGCTTTTCCACAAACTAGAAAAAAATAAGTAGAAGATGGTATGATAATGACAACGTTTCATTCATGGTAGCAATTTAATCACCCATATATATGTAATATGTACGCATGTTTAAAAAGCCATAGTAATTTAAAAACATTATATTGGCACTGAAATAGGTATGAGACATCAAAAGAACAAAATAGAATTTTCTAACGCCCACATGAAAATGTAGATGAGGGACATTACAAATAAGTGAGAAAGGCTGAATGATTTACCAGTAGCCTTTAAGGCACAGGGGTCTAGAAAGGAATAAACATGACAGTCATTAGCTTGTGCCTCACTGGATTCTATGAATATGTGTGAGATGGTAACAGTGCTTTAACCAAACACATGGAAGGCAGGGAAGTGGAGAGTGGTGGCTGTGGGGAGGGTGTTTTCTTGCTGCTATTTGGAAGAGGATACAGATGAGGTCTCTGATGAGGGATGTTGTCCAAATGTCAGAAGAGTCATCAATTTTGCCAGTTTTTCAGGAAGAACTTGCAGGCTAGAAGAAGAGTAGCACATGGCCCTGAGAAGGGGTAGACCAACTGTGCTGGAAAGACAATAAGGACCGCCTCACTGGCCTGTCTGCATTTGTCTTAGTCCCATGGTACAGCATTCTTGAACTGTTAATATATACCTATGTCAAATGGCAATGAGGATAATGGAGAAAAGCAAACCAGGAAAAAAAAAAGAGGGAAAGAATCCTATATATATCTGGAGGCTGAGGTGAGCATTCCTAGAAAGAACAAAGAATGTAAGTCCTGAAGGGAGGACTGACTTCTTAGAGCCTGGATGGCCAAGGAACTGGAGTGAGCAAGAATCCCAGGTGATGGGGGACAGATAAGAGTGTGGGGAAAGGAGAGGAAGGTGAGAAGGGCCAGTTAAATAGTGTCATCAAGCTATCCTAAGAATTTCTGCTCATAACCTGAGGAAGATGAGAAGCCATTAGAGATTTTTTTATCAGAGGTATGACATCAGCAGAGGTAATCTGGAAGCTGAGATGAGAAACACTGATAAGGGTTAAGTATAGAAGCAGAAAGGCCAGTTGGAAGCTGTTGTTATAATTATGGTACAGAAGTGGGCCAGGGCAGCCATGGAGGAAGGGGTGAGAACAGTTCACATCCTTAGGAAGGAATGTATTTTCAGTGTTCAAGACAACAGGATTTGCGGATGGATTGGATATGCGATGTCGACAAGGAGGGGCGTCATGACAGTTGACCAAAATTTAGTAGAGTATAGGCCCAGGGCTTGAGGGTTTCTGTTAAAATGCACACTTCTACTTATCCCTATATTCAGCTCTGTCTGGAGTCTGGGAATCTGCTTATCCTCTGGGAGACCTTGAAGAGAAAAAAATCCCTACTCTTCTGACTCAGCTCAACAAAATCAGTTATTGTTCAGCTTTCAACTTTTCAACTCCCAATTATAATTTCTTCTATTGTTTATTTTCCTCTGTTTCCTTTGTCTTTATGGCTTTATGCCATCACCTTGAACCAGAGTCTCTACTTATCATTCATGTGTAGTTCCCACTTCACTGCATACAAATACTCAAGCCTTTGTAATTCACTTTTTTTCACGGTTTTTGGAAAGGGTCTAAAATTTCCAGGACTCCACAGCTTTGCACCGGATAAGTCTGGAGGCATACTAATGATGGATCTAAAAGATGAAAAACCGAGGGCACTGGAGTTAAGAATCAGCCGAGGATTTGACTTGGCTTCATTTAATCCTCATGGCATCAGCACTTTCATAGACAACGGTAAGAGCTGATGAGCTACCAATGTTAGGAATCATGCAGTGGTTCACAAATGACTGTGAACAATAGGTTTGGATCTTATTAATAATAGGAAGGAAGGACAGTCAGCTCATGAATTATTTTTGTATTCTTCATACAAACAACTTGTCCACTTGCCTCTTCCTCTGGCAGTAGGTTATGTTACTTTGAAATTTCTAACAGTTAACATCTGAAAGAATGTTTAAATTTCATAACCTTTTCACATACTTGTGATTATTGTATTTAAAAGAGCTGTATTTCAGAATTAATCTCTAAACAGATTATGCATGAATTATGCATATGGAGTGGGAGGCACTCTTTCTTAAAGGTCAAGGGACCAATGATCAGGAATAACAGCAGATAGACAGTGATGGGCTAGACCAGGAAGAATGACTTGTTAAGTCATCTTACAGCTTGTATATTCAACCTTTCCTTGCCTGTGGTATTTAAATGTCAGTGTCTGCCCAGAGGTCCTATGGTTATGTCTTGTAAATTAACTCTCTTCTTTCGATCCTTTAGATGACACAGTTTATCTCTTTGTTGTAAACCATCCGGACTTCAAGAATACAGTGGAAATTTTTAAGTTTGAAGAAGAAGAAAATTCTCTGTTGCATCTGAAAACAATCAAACATGAGCTTCTTCCAAGGTAATTCCTCCTTTAATACATTCTCCAGAAGGTTTATCTCTAGCATTTTCAAACATTCCTCAGGATGGGTGATCCTCTTATTTTTTGTAAAATCTGGCAGATAGATAGGTAGATAGATAGATACATACATACATACCTAACACATGATATATCACAGTATATATTACAAAATATAATTATATATTATATAACTATATGTTTATACAATATATGGTATAATATTTAGGTAAAAAATGTAAGTGTCTATCTGTATCTCTATAAATATGGATATTTATATGGAATTTTATAAGCATTTTAACCTTAAAACTTCCAAGTCTGGAAGGCTCTATAATCTGAAACATTCTGAGTACAAAAATGATGCTACAATGGAAATCTTCACAGCACAAAATTTTCTTCTGGGCATGAATCCTGCATCTCGTATAAAAATTTTTCTAATTTGGGGAGGGGAAGGGAAATAACAAAATGCTGAGATAAGGATACAGGTTGACCCATTGTAACAATGAGATGTACAAGACACTATGTTGAAAACAAACTTTGCAACTTTGGTGGGGGGAAGGAAGAATTGGGAGGTGGGAGGGAAGGGATACTAGGAGGAAAAAACAAAGGAGGAAGTGACAATGCTTGATAGGAAATCTATTCATTACCTTACTCATGTAACTAATCCCTCAGTACAGTATTTCTGCAATAAAAACATGTAAAAAATACTATGCTAAAAATATTGTATAAAATTACTTTCAGCAGACCAGGTACAGTGACTCACACCTGTAATTCCAGGTACATGGGAGGCATAGACAGGAGGATCTTGGCTTCAGGGAAAAAAAAGACAAGATTCTACAAAAAATTGAATAATATTAAATAATATTAAAACAATTAAATAAAAACAGTTGAAAGTGTAACCTGCCTAATAAGCGGAGATCCTGAATTTAAAACCCCAGTAGCACCAAAAATTTTTTAAAAAGTTGCCTTCTAACTATGTGTTTAAAGTAGATAGGAAACATGAATTCCATGTTTAGATTTGTGTCCCAACTAAGATATTATTTACATCATGCAAATGTATGTTATTTACATCATGCAATTATTCTAAAATAGAAAACCAGAAATACTTCTGGTCCCAAGGGGACATTCAACCTATATAATCTCTCTCCCTTTCTCCCCACACCATATATATATATATATATATATATATATATATATGTATATATATGTATATATATATGTATATATATTTATGTATATATACATATATATATGCAATACATACATATATAGTTTCATTGTAAATGAGGGAGAGCATACATGAAAGTTAATGTCACTCTCTTTTTTTTTTGGTCCGGTTGTGGGGCCTGAACTCTGGGCCTGGGCACTGTCCCTCAGCTCTTCAGCTCAAGGATAGCGCTCTACCATTTGAGCCACAGCACCACTTCTGGCTTTTTTTTTCTTTTTGCTTATGTGGTGCTGAGGAATCGAACCCAGGGCCTCATGCATGCAAGGCAAGAGCTCTACCACTGAGCCACCTTCCCAGCCCCATAATGTCACTCTTTATACTAATAATAATCAGCATTCCATATATACTCCCTTAAGAAAAGATAAAATCCTGGACTATAAAACTATACCCTTCAAGCTCCTCCTGAGAGTAGAAGACAAACCTCACTATTTTTCTGTTATCATCCCATTGAAGATGCCTTAGTGCTGAAGTGTTTGCCCCAGAAGTATTTATATGGATTTGTGTGGTTTTCATGGGACTTTAATACAAAGGTTCTCATGGAGTTAGCTGGGTTTAGTAGTGGCTGTGAGCTAAGGGCCTACAGAACTAGAGGCATTCAAGTTGCAAATGGGTCACTACTAACTCAAGAATATAACGGTGCTGGGTAATATAGCTAAAAAAGAATTGCATGTACACTGCCAGCTCAGCTGCCATTAGCTTACTGCTTCTAGTTTAACTTTGATGGATATTTTTAATTTCTATTTTCCTATCTAGGGCATCAGCATATAACCTCCAATCATTCTTTCCCAAAATGTACTTCATAATAAATAAGGAGTATCAATACCATTCAAGCATCCTCTGCCTGAATGATGGAGCTTTCTGAGAAAAAAAAAATTAGAGAGGGAGAACCACCATCCTTGTAAGCTCCATATTTTTCATTTGACAAAGGAGAAAGCAGTTCTTTCAGAACTTTTTGCATAGGATAATTGGAATTTAAATTTAATAACACCCTTGTCTAACTGGTTTTAAAAATGTAATTGTTTTTAGCATATCAATCTCTCACCTGAAGTATTGTACTACAGCAATTTCATCATTCATCTCTCTGCAAGTGTTTATTGAGGGTCTGTTCATTCTCAGCATGTCGGCTTTGTGAGGCAGGTAGAAATTGAACAGTCAACCTTAGTTTGACTGATAATGAAGCAAAGGACTGAGGAAAATCCAGCAGCTGAGCAATGGGGGCCAGGTAAATATTGCTGACAGTGAGACAGGTTCTATATTACCTGACATCTCTGTTCTGATGTACAGTTGTTAACCCTACACTGCTTATGGAAAAAAAAACCACAAAAATTCCACTTGGAACCGAGTTCTCTCTGCCTCTTTTTCTCATTTTTCTTCTTTTCTTCCTTCCTTCTTTATTTTTCTTTTACTTTCTTTCAACATCATTTCTCCATATGGCCTAGCTTGACCTCAAGCTTTTGATTCTAATACCTAAGCCTCCTAAATGTTAGACTTACAGATATGGGCCATTACATCTGACTAGATCTTTTATTTAATAATCATCCTGCTATAATTGCTAAATGACCTCTCTTCAAGTTACCTGGTACCACAAACAAAACAGTCCTTTTGCAAATAATATTGTCATATATTGCATATACTATAGTCATGTGATTTTTAGCTTTTCTTTTCTTGGAAAAAAACTAATCTAAAATATAAAATACATGTTGTATAAATTCTATAGGTACTTGATCTAAGCTTCAATATGAAGACCAATAAGGCCTTTTATTTTCTCTCATATGTTTTTGTCTTCCAGTGTGAATGATATTGTAGCTGTTGGACCAGCACATTTCTATGCCACCAATGATCACTACTTCTCTGATCCTTTCTTAAAGTATTTGGAAACTTACTTGAACTTACACTGGGCAAATGTTATTTACTATAGTCCAA